CATGGCAAAGGATATTAGAGAATTGCGGTCACCCTAACGACACGACTAAATTGCGATAAAGAAGTTGAACCGCTTCCATTTATGTAACTGGGCTTTCGATACAGCTTTTCTGTCTACAGTGTACTGAAAGTTTGACTTTGACTTAGTCTCATAAGCATCCCCTGCTTGGTTGTGCAGCAATCTCGGTCGGTTTTCTAGTGGGACAAACAATATTTTTTTGGCAAATCCTGCCAAAATGGACTTGATTTGTTTGCTATTGATAACAGACCTTGGATCCTAATCTTCTGAATTTAAATTGACTCTTCAAGGCCCTCCAATTAAAGTTTCCGGCTTCGTAACTATGCCCAGACTCTGCTTAGTTCAATAGCAGTCTGACGCAATATGTTGTGCTTTTGCTAAGGGAGTTGCAACAGAAGCAGAGCGCCAGTCGTTCGGCATAATCAGGATCGTAAGGTCCATCTTACAGAAGTGGAGCATAGTTTGGGTTACTCAGAGACGAAAACATACAAATTTTTCATCCAGCATAAGCGGTCTAAACGGAGCTAATCCCACCATGTAGTCTACTGGTCCCAAAAAGACGTGACTTCGTCACCATCAACACCCAGACTTCGTCACCCAAGACAAAGTCGGTCCATGCTAAATAGGAAACGTCTGCTAAGTAGAGCGGGCATCTAGCCATTCTATCAAAGAAAATACCTTTGGAACGGGCCAATTTCAAATAAGAACCCTAATTTGCCTAGGCTGCTCAAGATGATTTAAGGAATAATAGTTGACTTTTCCCAAAACCTCATTGTAAAGCCAATTTGTTTCCGTGTGGGAAAGTATAACCATCAGTCCATAGGTCACCCTAAGAGGTCTAGACTGAGTAAAAAGCTAATTTTAGAATTACTGCCAACCTTAAAGCATACTCACATAGTGTATGACGTTTTCATCCTGATTACTTTCTATATTTCACATCCCGTTTTCCATGCTCTTCATCAGTCGGCCTTGGAACCGGGATTCCAATATTGTGACTAGCAACCGGAGTCCGATTACATAAGATCTACACGCAAACTAGCAAAACTATTGTTTTTTCTGCTAAATTATTGTGAAACGAATAATATTAGGACATTAATTATGGTAGGTCCATAGGTGTAAATATCTTAAAAAAGCAGAAATATGGTCCAAAAAAACACGCGCCATCAACGATGGTCGCAACTAGGTTTATCGTAAGTTACAATTTTAAGAAATGATGGGACATGATCAAATTATGGCGTAATTAAGGCCCGTCTTAGCAACTACCATGATATAAAGTGCTATAAGTGCATATGAGCCAGAACATTCTTTATCACGCTTTAGAATTCACAATATTGATGAGAAATTTTATTGTAATGTTTTCTTCTCGCATTTCTATAGTTTTTTTCCGACATCGAAGTTAGCATCGTTTGTGAGCAGTACCATCCTAATCGAAAAGTCTTAACTGGAGTTGATTAAAACAATCTGGGAGGATGCTGGGTGAATTCTCCGAGATCCATCTATAAGCATGATCAAGGTTCAGAAACGAAGTCAGGCCAACCACATTAAAAAGAAGGGAGAACGATCTCAGGAAAATGGCCGCCCCATCGAAAAATATGCCTTTCCAAGTAGAACCCATTCGTTTTGCAAGCACTCATATATTTGACATTCGATGGAAACCAAGTAGTGTTTGGTAGTGATCCAAAACTTAAGGACAAGAAAGTATATTTAGCCTACAACCTTTTTGACAATGCATTTAAATTAGGCTCCTTCTCAGCCCAAACCGTGGTTGTTGTAGCTTGGAATTTCATAAGTCGTTAAACGTGTTTAGGAAAGGTATACGCTAGACCTAGAACAAAGCAAAAAAGTTTTATAATCTCATGAGAGTTGGTAGAAGTTGATTCGAATCAGGCATGGCTGGAATTGAAGCATGAGATAAAGTATGGTATAAATGAGTGCAAATTGTGCATAGCGCTTACAATCAACACCCAAGGACCGGGAAGGCGCTGAATGAGGCCGAACAAGTAAAAAATAAAGAACAGGCAGGAGAAAATGAGGGTAATGGCAGCCACAAAATTGACCCAGCCGGCAGCGGATGTGAGTATCCAGTTCGGAGTAGCCGCCACGCAGATGAGGATAATTAAGTTGATCAAAATCTAAAGCAGTTGGATAAGTGAAAATAAGCATCAATTTTGGAAAAAAAAGGGGAAATCGAAGAGAACGAGGGAAAGAGGGAATACGGAATGTACTGAAATCATGACTTCTGATAGGCCTTTAAAAGCACAAGTTCAACAATCCAAAAGCTACAAAAGTTATTAATAATAAATTATATGAAAATCAGGCTTTATCGAGTCTGATTAGGCTTTATGCAACGTAAATAATCCTCAAAAAATGATTAAAATATTAAATTAAATTCCTATTATGTAAAACACATTTAGAAGGCGGAATCATTGGGATGCAGCAATGCATGTAAGGCCTTTAGAAACGTATAGCAACGGAAAAGTCTAGTTTCGTGTAAAAATGCCTTTGTTTAGGACTTAGCAAAAAAGAGAAAACGGGATGAACCTAGCAAAGTTCAGAAGTACTGGTTTGAGGATGGAGATTGGGACTAAATTCCCCGAAAATCGACACTTTTACAGACTAAAGGTTATTGTTAATTATATTCGTAAGTAAGTAGGGTTTCGAGACTACCAGTAAATCAGTGTAATGAGATGTATTCACCCTA